CTCCATTGGCAGATCATATATTTCCATCCACTATTGCAGTGGTCCCCAACCTTGGGCCTCCAGATGTTCTTAGACTTCAACTCCCAGAAATCTTGGCCAGCAGAGGTGGTGGTGAAGGCTTCTGGGAGTTGTAGTCCAAGAACACAGAGAGACCCAAGGTTGGTGACCACTGCACTACTGGGAGGGTTAACTATTGCTATAGCTGAGCTGCTGCCACTATCCAGACCTTATGCCTAACTCTGAGGAAAGACACCTCAGAGCAAGGCCTGACTAGGCCCTACAGGAAGCCCAGCTAGCTGTGAATGCCACAGCGGAAAGTGTCTGAGGCAGATCTCTGGAAAGCCCAATAAGCACAGTGTCTCATTGTGAGATGTCTGTTCTCAGAGCAAAGCTTGATGATCAAGATGACTATGTAGACCTCCTATTACAATGCAGCACTGCCAGTCTCTCTGGTCACCTTGCCCATAATTGATGGGTGAGTAAATATAGTGGTAACATGCAGATGCGGTGGAATATTAGGAGAAATCATATATATACTTCCACCTCAGATGGAATTAATGTTGTGGTACTGCTTTTGTAGAAGAGCCTGTTTTTCTATTTTGCAGTATTTAATCATTAACCAACTCTGAAAGGTGCTGGGGAGGCTTAGAATGGTGTGTGTCTGTGTAATTTAGTTAGGAGGCAACATGTATTTAACACCACTCAAGCTTGAGGCAGAATCATAACCTGAGGTGGCATCCAGCCACTCCTTAAATTGTCAGAAGAAACATCTTGCAGGCAAAAGGTCTCTGTTTAGTGCCAAACATTTACACTAAAACAGTCTAAGAACTTCCAGTGAAATTGTGTATCTTCACGTCTCAAAATTGCCCAAAATGATATTTATAATAATACAGATTAATGATAAATATCTACTTTGTTCAAAAATGATTAAAAAAAATGATTTTGGTTTTCCTTTAAAACCATGGACATTTGCCCTTTTGCCAGGTCCCTCCTGTTGCTAACATGTAACTCTGGTGTAGGTGTGTGAGACTGAGTAGCTTGCATCTGGCGATCAGAAAATAGAAGTGACATTTAGCAGAATGTCATATGTGACTTAATTCATTAGCACTTGCAAATCACTTTCAAGCTGCAAACGCAAGAGTGGGATTTTTTTTACGTGAGTGGATGGTTTACAGACAGAGTGGCCTTTTTTTTTCTTTTGTCAGATAGACAAATCATTCCTCTTTGTCTTTTACATTATTTGCCTCCTGTCAGCTTTGCTTACTGACCAAAGGCTCTGAATCTCTGTTCTAGCATCTGTTTACTCATACATATTGATCACTGTTAAGGAGGTACCACAGGACATGAAGGATGCAAACATTGTCACATTGTACAAGAACAAAGGTGACAGGGGTGACTGCAATAACTACCGTGGTATCTCTCTTCTTAGCGTTGTAGGGAAGCTGCTTGCCCGTGTTGTGCTGAAGAGGCTCCAGGTGCTTGCAGACAGAGTCTATCCAGAATCACAGTGTGGATTTCGAGCTAATAGATCCACCACTGACATGGTATTCTCCCTCCGACAGTTGCAGGAGAAATGCAGGGAACAACAACAGCCACTCTTAGTGGCCTTCATAGACCTTACAAAAGCATTTGACTTGGTTAGCAGGGATGGCCTTTTCAAAATACTTCCCAAGATTGGATGTCCACCTCGTCTCCTTAACATCATCAGGGCACTGTAGTTTTTGATGGCTCAACATCAGATCCCTTTGACATCCAAAGCAGCGTGAAACAGGGCTGTGTCCTCGCACCAACACTTTTTGGGATCTTTTTTGCTGTCATGCTGAAGCATCCCTTTGGAACTGCAACAGAAGGTGTCTATCTCCGGACTAGATCAGATGGAAAGCTCTTTAATCTCTCTAGACTGAGAGCGAAGACCAAAGTCCAACTGAAATGCATGCGGGACTTCCTCTTTGCAGACGATGCAGCCATTGTTGCCCACTCTGCTGAAGACCTCCAACAACTCATGAACCGTTTCAGCAAGGCCTGCCAAGACTTTGGACTAACAATCAGCCTGAAGAAAACACAAGTCATGGGCCAGGGTGTGGACTCACCTCCCTCTATTACCATCTCCACACAAGAATTGGAGGTTGTTCATGACTTTGTGTACCTCGGCTCAACCATCTCTGACACCCTCTCTCTAGATGCCGAGCTGGATAAACGCATTGGGAAAGCAGCCACCATGTTCTCTAGACTCACAAAGAGAGTATGGCTCAATAAGAAACTGACAACACATACCAAGATCCAGGTCTATAGAGCCTGTGTCCTGAGCACACTCCTGTACTGCAGCGAGTCCTGGACACTTTGTGCCCGGCAGGAGAGGAAGCTGAACACCTTCCATATGCGTTGCCTACGACGGATTTTTGGTATCACCTGGCAGGACAGAGTTCCAAATAGAGTAGTCCTAGAACGAGCTGGAATTTTCAGCATGCATACATTACTGAAACAGCGACGTCTATGCTGGCTTAGGCACGTTCTGAGAATGGCTGATGGTCGGATTCCAAAGGATCTCCTATATGGAGAATTAGTGCAGGGAAATCGCCCCAGGGGGAGACCACAGCTGCGATACAAGGATATCTGCAAACGGGATCTGAAGGCCTTAGGAAAAGACCTGAACAGATGGGAAACTCTGACATCTGATCGTTCAGCCTGGAGGCAGGCGGTACATCATGGCCTCTCCCAATTTGAAGAGACCCTTGTCCAGCAGGCCGAGGCAAAGAGGAAGTCACAAAGGAAGCAAAACCAGGGAGCTGGACAGGGTACAGATTGGATTTGTATTCAGTGTGGAAGAGATTGTAACTCTCGAATTGGCCTCCTCAGCCACACTAGACGCTGTTCCAAGTCCTCCATACAGAGCACGCTACCATAGTCTTTCGAGACTGAAGGATGCCTAGTAAGGAGGTTTAAATTGCTATTGCTCCTGTGATGGTTTATATCATACCTAGGGTGTTTTAATCATTAATGTTTATCACTTGCGTGGTGGGCTTCACCTGAACTTCTGATCCACCTTATTCCATTCACAGAGCTTTGAAATAAGAAATGCAGTACACTTACCTGTAACAATTTTTGTTTTGAGGATGAGGGAATAGTAAAGTTGCATGTTAAGAACAAAGTTATTTTATTGGTATGAAGAGTAAAGTTTTTTACTTATTTTAAAAGTTACTTGCAGAAAGAATTTGAAGTGTTTTGTCAGGAATTTTTCAACTTGTATGATATTCTGGTATTCTGTTATCAAGCTAAAGCCTTTCCCCTCTCAAAAGTACTGAAAAAAGGGAAATGAATGAACCACACAATACTCAATGGAACAATTTAGTTTTTAAATTATTGAGATGAATTACAGCAGTTCATTATTTGCTGATGGGAAGTAATTGCTATGGAAGAGTTTTCAGAATGTGAGTTACCATGTAGCTACAGCTGCTGAAATGAAGGTAAGGGATACCAGCCATGGATACAAATCTGTAAGGTAGATTGCCACTTGTGTTTCACTATTAAACTTTGGGATCTCTGTGTGCAAAGGCAGAGAAATAGATTTCCAAGTTGTCAGGAGACATAAAATTTGCATGATGTTGCTTCCTCATAGTCCTTATGGCTAGAATCCTGTTGGGAATTTACCCTGTGGTAAGCAAAATAACATATATTGTGGTAACAAACTATGGCTGATTAAACAAAGTGTCGGTTTTCTGCCACCTGCGTGACCTAAAACATGTTTATTAGCTGCTGTTTATCTCTATGACTTCACTTCTGGTATAAAATCAAAATACCATTTCGGCCTATTTTCCCCCTATTTGTTCAGATGTTCTTGGAAATATTACATACTTAGACTATAGCTCCCAGAATTCCTGAGCCATCACAGTCAGTGACTATGTTGGGTGTGAGTGGCAATCCAAAACCATAATTTTCCCAGCCTCTGACCAAAAGAGCTTCCACTTCCCTTGCCAAGATCAGCCTAAAGTCTGGCCTAGTGAACCACACACTTTAAATAGAATGGTGTACTTCTCTCTAGAGACAAAAGCAAAAGACTTTGGCTGCTACCATTGTTTATGGATGGCAGCTGGGATACGGCTTTTGTGAGGCATAGAAAGCACTTGCTGTTTGCATCACTTCTGTCTAAAACAATGTGTGAACTACTGGTCTTGTTTGCCTCAGGCAATACTTCATATATAGCCACAGTTAGTAGCACCCTTGTTTAGAAAATCTCACTGAAGATCAAACTGGAACAGGGGTCAATTTCGGAGATGTGATCTCAAGGCTGCAACTGGATTCTCCCATTTCAGTCTGGAGATATGGCGGGTCTAGAACTCCTGCAGATTTTGCACACGCACAACCCCAAAAAAAGGGCATTGACTAGTGTTTCCATTTTGGAACCCTTCTCCTTCATTCTCACAAAGTGTAGGAATAGCTAGGTACAAGTAATGTAGTTACCCATTAAGGTAAAGAGAAATGTAACAGTTACAAACGTACAATTAAGTTTAATGTGAGAAGTAGTGACAATCTTATTTTTAGATATAATCAGTAATTTTCCTTGCCACTTTCTAAAGTTATTCCAGAAGTTACTTCTATGCTTGAACAAACTGAAACATTTTTAGATTCATTTTGACAGGAATTGTTCAAGATTTATGCCAATCTATTACCAATCTTAAATGGCAAGGGAAGTATTCTTTGGTTTTGTCTTTTGTAGTTTTGTAAATAGACAGCTGGATAGATAGCTCAATAAGTTAGGGAGATGAGCCAGAGGTAAAGAGTATATATGTATAGTGTATATACTTGTTTTATAGACAAACAAGTAACTAGTGACAATTTGCTACTACAATTTACACCATGCCAGCATAATTAACCAATGTAATTGTGGCCAATAACAATAGGAAAGACCTGGTTTTTAAGAAGTAATGGATGTCCATTTATTTTCCTTTTTAAAAGTAACTTTCTGAGCTGCGTGGTCTCATTCTCAATATCTTCTGTTTTAGCTATGCATTGAATTCATCAAAGATACACTGAGTGTGGAGCAGGTCTGTGAAGCCTTTCAGGTAAGTTTCACTGCTCCTTATCTTACCCTGCTTTTACAATGTCTTGTAGTCCTGAAGCCTTAAAGAATTTAAGCATAGGAGCAGGAAACTTTTCCTCATGTACCCAGGGAATGCTCCAGCTTAATATCACCAGCTGTATAGTGCCCTATAGATTACCGTACCTTGCTGGTACGCTGGCTGGTTTCAAAGATGATACTGTACAGTCTAATTGACCAAAATCCTGTTGTGCAATATAGAAAATCACACTAGAGTAGGCCCATTGAATCAATGAGGATTTGGTGAGCCAACTGCTCAGCAAGTTCCAATGATTCATAGAGGGCTGCTAAGTAAGTCATTGATGAGGTTATTTGAATCAATTGAACTCACTGAAGAGTTGACTCATTGAGTTGACTACTGATTTAGTGGGCCTACTCTATTGCAATTTTTTATTGCATGCAACAAGATTCTAATCAATGAGTGATATATTAAAGACAGCACTATCAGCATGGTATGGATGGAGGGATGGATGTCTACTGTAATTGTAGACTTAGGCAGCTGCAACAGTGGAAAACTGAAAGTACCACATAACTTGAATAGGCATGAGTAGGGATCACTGTGAAAAGTCTACTGACTCTGCCAGGCAAGTGGGGGAAGCAGGGAGGATTACTGATATTGAAATGTGTGGATATAAAGCTTAGGAAAAAGTGTTAACATTTTTGAAACTGGGAACCAATGAAGTAGGGTAAGAAGCTGTAAAAGAGGTCTATTGGTCTGATTCCTTTCGAGTACTGTATATTTATTTTATTTATGTTTTTTGTTGTTCTACTACAATAAGTAATATAGCTATAGTATCACGGTGAGCTATGGCATATTCTCCATAGCAATCAGTAGTAGAAACATATATTGTACAGCTTCATGGATTGCTGATGGACAGAATGTTTAGCCTCTCAGTTTTAGAGGAAAAAAGGAAAAAAGTGTATATTCATTTGAAGGTGGTGAGCAAATATAATAACAACTGTTTGGATGAGAACAGTTGTTCTGGTTAAAGGATAAATACTAGTGCTTATCTAAGCACGGCCTATCCATTTGTTATGTCAATGAAATTGCGAGAGCCCACAATAGTGGGCAGTGTTTACATGTTAATTTTTTAAATATAAAAATATTTTAAAGTACAATTCAGAGTTCAGCCCACAATTGCTATTGTAGCAGTCACCATCACCCGCACTAACCCACAATAGTTCTTCTTCGTGGCCTCTGTGAATCACACCCTGGGTGATCCACGCCTGCGCAGAGCCTCATCAGAAAGTTCCAGAGCTTCTGCGGTAGCAAAAAAAAGTTAGGATAAGGCCCCCTCCCCCCTCGTATAAGTACCTTGGCACCAAGGCTCCCCTTTCAGTTTCTTTCAAC